TTGGACAGAAGGATGTATCTGGAGAAGAGGAGATCCCACGCAGAAACCTCTTGGTCCTGGAACAGCCCGACGCCGATCTTGGTCTTGGCCGTCTGCAAAGCCTTCTTGGTGTTCTCGTTGAGGAAAGATGAGAACCAGCCCTTGTCCATGATGTGGAGCAGCAGCAAACCAGTCTCCGGATCGGGCAGGCACCGCTGCAGAAGCTGCAGGTAAGTGAGGTTTTCGTGTGTGTTTGGGTCAAAGAAGCCCTTGGTGTCGTCTGTGGGATCAGAGAGGATCTGGTTCATTTCCTCATCAAAGTAGCCCCTCTTGTACGCTACTTCCACGGGGAGGCGGTGACTGTGCACAGGATCGATGATGCCACCCGTGGCAATCTGGGCTTCCAGCAGGCGGATCCCGTGCTCTTTGACTATGAGACCTTTCTTCATGGCCTGGAAGAGGGAGAGCTTGTTCCCCGTATAGGGGTCTTTATAGCCGGTCACAGCCCTCTCTGCGGAGAGAAGCTTCTCCCGCAGCTCGGTTCCCACCAGTTCAACAGAGACAGCGTCATCAACGGAGAGTTTTTTGTTCGCCAGGGGGTCGGTGATGAAGCCTGTGGCGGCCTGTGCCTCCAGCAACACCAGGGCCGTGCCTGGCCTCAGAATACCTTTCCACATGGCCTGGTAGATGGTCATTTTCTCTGACTTGGAAAGGTCTGTCCTGGATGGCACCATCACGCCAGCGATGCAGCTGTTGCCTTCCAGATACCTCTTCACCGAATCCATTTCTGTGACCTCTTCCACCGTTTTGGTGCCTTCTGCGAGCTTAGAGAGCGTCTCTTGGTTGATGATGCGGGAGTGAAACAGTTCTGAGGCTGACACCTGCTTCCTGAGCCCCGAGAATTTCAGCTGGTTGCCCTTCTCTTCCATCTCTTCAATCAGGGTGATGAGTATTTGGACCAGCTCGCCTGGGGCCACAGACCTCTCTTGATACTTCTGCAGCAGCTCCTGGCGCTTGGCCGCAGTCACATACTTGGAGAAGAGGAGCTCCCACGCTGATCGCCTGGAGCCTTGAAACTCACCCACAGGCACGTCTATGGTCACCTGTCGCAAAGTGCGTTCCAGTTCATTGTGCTGGGAGGAAAGAGTGGCTTCCTCTCCTGGGGAAGAAGCCCTGTCCTTGGCGTGAAGCGAGGTCAGGGTGGTGATCATTTCCTGAATGGTCAAGG